GGCAATGAGCCACTTGTATTGTGATCCGATTAAGCCTAATGCCTCGCCAGGTCCGCATTCCTGTCATCCCAATCCTTGTCGGAATGGGGGAATATGTACCTCCCTACGCCGACATCGACGTCTCACAATGAAGGTGCCAGATGGGCTTTGGTTTAACAAGTACCATTGTAAATGTCCATCGGAGTTTACTGGTAAAAACTGCGAACAAAGTATGTATTTCATTTTCCTTACTGACCACCAGTTATGTCGTTTGATTTGCACGTAGACGTGACGTAGAGTCTTGTTACCTCTGGGTGGCCTTGTAGTCTAATTGTCATCTGCAACTAATGCCGCAGTAATTTTTTGGAGGAAAATGATTTCGTGTAATCAACTTCCCTAAATGTGCTTTACATTCTATTCTTTTGTGTACTTCTTAGATCTTTCTGTGTGCAAATTCAATCATTGTTTGAATGGAGGAACGTGTCAAGCCCTGTATCGAAGGAGTCCTTCCTCCTTCCCGAATAAAAGTGACAAGAAACGTGCGATCCCTGAAGATTTTATCCCCTCCTGGTACTGTGAGTGTCCACCCAAGTATACTGGTATGCGCTGCGAACAGGGTATGTACTAATATAACTTCGCATCACTAGCCTGACCCCACAACTTTCGAGATCTCTAACCAACTTCTCCTCTCTCGTTGCTATAACTTTGCTCAAAGGGTTTTTTTGATTGCACGAACATAGCACGAGCTTTAAAAGTGTCAACATGCAAAACAAACATGGCGGCTCGATACGATCGTTATCTGAAAAGCTGTGTTAAAAACAGTTTGACACAGTACTCTTTTTATGAGATGGAATCTAGGGTTTCCAGAGCAACTGCACCCATAAAATTCATAGGCCCTCTACACCTGAAAAAGAGGTCAACCGAAAAGAAAACACCGTAAGGAAGGTTGCCAAAAGTCGACAGAGTCGAAAGTTTACGCATGCTCAGATACCGATCTTGGTGAAGTTCTATTCCATCACTTAATATTTGACGACAAGGTAAATAGGGATCTGTCGAGTAAGATTTATCGCGTTTCCTTCCGTGGATTTTACTAAGATTTGCTGGACCGTTTAACATATTTTTGCCCTTCCTAGCGCATGTTGATTACAAAAATTTATAAGACCAAATTTCAGATTGAGGAAGATAACACAAAATTGCAAATAGCAAAATGGCTTTTAAATGATCGGTAGGGAAACTTTCACAAATTGTGAAAATTTTGGGAGATTTCATCAGAGCAAATCGAAGAAAATCAAGGGCAAAGCCAAATTATCGCTGGGGAGCGCCTCCCATTATGGAGCCTTAGTTTGACAACGAAAATCATATTGATATTTGCTACACGAAAAGATAGTCCGAACTTTGTTCATTGCCTTTTGATGGCTTTTTAGTGACCTTCTAAAGAAAAAACATAAAAATTTTCTGGAAAAACATTACGCTGGCGCGCGCCAACGTTGAGCTAAAACCCTATGGAGCCACCTTAAGAGAATTAACTGGTACATCAAAATGAAACCATTCGGCAAATATGTTTTTTGGTTCTCATTTCCTGTTTGCCTGATGATGTATTGAAATCGTGAGGAGTGGTTATATAACATTACATTAGAAGCTAAGCGCTTAAGGATTTTTTACTTCAGTCGTAGATCCATGCATCCCAAACCCTTGCCAAAATGGAGGGTCATGTTCGAGTCAAGGATCCACGTTTAGCTGTGGCTGCAGATCTCAATATACTGGAAGACGTTGCGAGATCCTGAATGGTATGCATTGACTTGGCATCACTGGCATGACCCCAAAATTTCCGAGAATTCCAACATACTTTTCCTCCCTAGTTACCATAAACTTACTTAACGAAATAAATTTACTTAACGAATAGAGTTACATCAACAAAAAAAACACTTAGAATAAAAGTTTTTAGAGATCCTGAACGGTTAGTGAGGATGCATCCAATTCAAAAAACAGGTTCATATCCAGGCCCTATGCCATAATCGAGGTATACGCGTGGTAGTTGTGAAGAAGTATCTCCTGACGACTTTTGGGGTACCTTCTGCTGGAAATGTGAAGGACGGAGGGATGCACCCCTTATTTCTTTCTTTATCTTGCATCCGTAATACATACTTGAGAGTTAAGCTGATAAAGCTTGTGTGTGTGTGTGTGTGTTCTGACCGGGAATTCTATCCCTGGAAGGTCTGTTCTTGCCAGATTGGCTGACACTTAGAAATCTGACGAAGATCAGCCTCTTTTTCTCTAAGTTTCTTTCGTGAGCGACGTGTCAATCAACTCTACCCTTACGGAAATTTCGCGCACTTGAGATCTCCACCGTTGTGCCTTGCTTAAGCAGAAAAGGTATGCGTACCAAAGTCAAAGCAAGAGGTTGATCAGAGGCGGACCAAATCATTGGTAACCTCGAGGACGACTTTGAAAACACAGAGGCCTTATGCGCTATAAGCTATGGCTGGAGAAAATAAAGTAGTCCAAGGTGAAGATATGCATCCATCAGAGCAGAACTTCCTCAAACGAAATAGTGCCTGTATGTATTTATATTTCTGAGAGAGAACGTCCCATCAGTTTGTCAATTCTAGTATTTCCTCCTTTCTAGGTGCATGTGCGCAGAAACCTTGCCAGAATGGAGGAACATGTTACTCCCTTGGAAACAAGATGCACTTTTGTTTCTGTAAACCTCAGTTCACTGGAAGAAGTTGCGAGAAAGGTTGGTTACCGTAGGATAGGCCTATGTGCCCATTTTTACGTCGTTTATTTTGTTTGATGAGACAACCTCTATATCGTATTTCGAAAAAATCACAATTTATCCTATTTTATCTGAAACTAATCTCAATGACGATAATTGTAGCTTGCGTTTATCAAAATAATTAAATATCCGAGATCAATTCCAATGATTATTGTATATGTTTGCAGTAAATTGCAACGCTCGGCCATGCAGGAATGGAGGGACATGCCTCAGTGTAGAAAGGAGATCATTCTGCAAGTGTCCAGCTGGAATTACTGGGGATCTTTGCGAAGGCGGTGGGTATTGAGAGTCCACCCAAACGTGTACGAGTGTAAAATCTTTGAATTACGGTAATGCATAAAGGTCGAAGACTGTTCCTTCATAAATGCCTCTCTCAACATGTTGTCTTTCTCAAAATATATGATCTTGATTCTCGGGTAATTTCTTCCCACTTTCCGTCAATCGATCCAAACTGCTAAGATCCTTCCATTGTCCCCTTTTCCTATGTGTTTGATAATCTTTTATCGTTGATTATTTACAGAGATCCCAGTTGTTACAAAAGATCCACAAGACTCCATTCGAATGGAGGGTGATGGCATAACACTTTGTTGCCAGGCGACAGGGAAACCTACTCCTGTGTATGAATGGTAGGTCCAAAGCACGTTTTAAAGAGCTCTATGTGTCACAGTCTGAATATCCACTGAGACATTTTCCACTGAGACATTTTCCACGAATATTCCAAGATCAGCGTTTGCAATCTGTATTTTCCTTATCCACCTTTTTCTACACGTGATGAAAAATCTAGTTACCATAGACAAAGGTAAAAAAGATATTGATAAAATTATTTTATTCATCTTTCTCGTTCGGTAGGTTTCACAACGGTGCACCCCTACTGCACCAGTTACGAAATAGAAACCTACGTCTGTCTAGATTGTCTTCACGTGATTCTGGTTCATATCAATGTCGTGCAAAAAACAAGTTTGGGGCAACAGTATCCAACGAAGCGACGCTGACAGTTGTGCCTGGTAAGATATGATATCCTGTTTAGAAATGATTAAAGTGGTTCGCATATTTGACATTTATTTACCTAGTATGGTCAATAGCGGTTGATACTCACTTGCTAATCACTTCGGGCTAGCCAATCAGCCCCCGCAAAAAGCACATTTCGGACCCCATTTCACCTGTGTGGTATACGGTAATGCTTTGTATTGAACAAGGTCTGATATGTATAAATAATGCACTGTTTGAAACAACCTATGCCTATCCACGCCTATTGCTATAGCTATATATGTATGGAACTCAGTTAGAGCTTTACTTGGGCTTCTCCGAAGCACAATCTTCTAGACTTAATTTACATTACAAAGCGCTTGATTGTTATGCGGTTAGCCCAAGATAAATATGAGTTGGTTTTTCAACACTTCTAACTCTTTCTAATCAAAACATGTGATAATATCACATTTCTTGCCTTTAAAATTACGTTTTTTATGAAAAATGCAATTTCAGGTAATCGCGAAGACTCATGCAACCCCACCCCACTGACAGAAGTTGTGTCATTGCCTGAAGGATGCACAGAAGATACCAGTGGGAGTAACAGCGTCAATGTTGGTACTTGTTCTAACGAAGCATGCGTAAAGCGTAACCAACGTCATGCTGGAAGCTGTGGAGGACACGACTCCACTCGACAATGCTGTAGCCCAGCTTCTATGTCTGACAGCCGCGTGAGTTGCAAAAGCGGTATAAAGTTCAACATTCAGAAAGTCTCTAAATGCGCATGTGCAGACTGTGCTGTCTCAAAAATTGTTGTTCGAGGTAAAGTGGTCGATCCGATGGGAAATCCCCTGTGGCGTGGCGAGATGACTGTGAGCAATGACGTTGGTAGCCGATACTATACGGATAGGCGAGGAAATTTTAAAATTCTGGTCAAGTCAGGAACCAAGCGAATAGTATTAACGGTAAAAGACAATTTTCAAGGACTGCTCGAAGATACAACGAAAGTTTTCGAACTTCATGAGGGGCAAGTGTCTTTTTATACCATTGTTCTTCAAAAGAAACCGCCGGTGATCAAATTCCCAGCAAACAATAAAAAAAGTGTTCCCCTTGGAGGATCCGGGGGGAGACCAAATTTTGTCGATCTGGACATCCCTGCAAATGCCTTCCTCACAGCTGATGGAAGAGTATATACCGGTGAGATCACAGCAACCATTGGGGTGATTGATCCTAGAAGCCAGGCAGACATGACAGCAGCGCCTGGGGATTTTTCAGCTATTAACGACAATGGAGAGGAGGTGGCACTCGGATCTGTTGGAATGCTGAGGCAAGTTTTTACAGACAGTAATGGTAATCAGCTCAGTCTTGGTAAAAACATCTCAGTCCGCATCGACGCTGACCTGTTAGACATACCCAACGGTGTCACAGTTTATCAATGGTACCTGAGCAAGGAAACTGGTCGCTGGGTTAAGTTCGGAGTATTACGCCCTGAGCAAGGCGGCAGCTCTAGACCAAAGAGACGCGAACGAGCAAGGAAGTTCTTTGTGAGTGAAATTACACCAAATGTTCCTTTAGACAACATCAACTGGGATTACGTTACTGTTGTCAGTTATGTCCGAATCACGGCTCCCTCAGGCACAGTTGTGTCTCGCATCGGTCTGAGCGACAATGGGTTACAGTACACCTCTTATCGCCAAGATACAGTCCCTGCTAGTGGAACCCTGTGCATTCTAAGCTTACGAGACAAGCGAGCCATTCTTCAAGCTGAACGCGATGGAGCGCCTCTCATTCCACGACAGCCTACTGGCTTTCCTCTATTGGTGAACCCTGAGATCATTGACGGGTCTTCTGTGGGTAACGTTTTCAAAATCCAGTCCTTCCGGTTCACTTCCACTAAAGTAGATGATCGAGGTCCCATTTACCTCAGAGGCGAGGATGGCAGATGTTCACAAAGAAGAGCAAATGATTTTGCTTTTGAATTCCGAGATGCCAATGCAGGGCAATTGTTCCACTGGCAAAGTATTAGAATTGACGATCCCAGCGATCCTCGGTTGTGGCAGGTGAGACCTGATGAGATTTGTTTTGTCAAAGCACTTGTTGTAGGGACAAAGCCCGACTCAGTCATATATGTGGGAAGCATTGGAAAAGCTCCTGGTCAATCTGACGTGGAATACGGTTACACTGCGGAGAAGAGTGCCACGGTTGGTGGACAGGGTGTGGTGTGCTTGGAATACCGATGTAATGAGGGCTCATCAGGACAGTACCAGACCCACTTACAATTCCTCACGCTAACAGGATCATGCACAGTTCAGGGGCTCAACAATGTTTTGAATGGTGCGCAAAATCGATGTACTGTGCCGCCAGCCAGTTCCTCAAGTCAAGAGCACAACTTTTGTGTTCCACATTTGGTGGGAGGTGACGCTGGGCTCTACTCTGGAGATACAGGTGTGGCCAAGAACAGGTGTCTTACAGGGAACCAGCAGTACAACTCAGGCCGACCAA